CGACGCAATATGACACCACAAGGTTCTGAACTGCTTCTCGTTGTTCTTCAGCATTTGCGACCAGCCATCCTCTCATAATTACACGATGCTCTCACCACTGGCCAGTGGCCTAGTGGCTAAGGTACTCGGCTGCTGGCCCGCAGGTCGCGGGATCAAATCCCGGCTGTGGCGGCTGCATTTCCGATGGAGGCGGAATTGTTGAAGGCCCGTGTTCTCAGATTTGGGTGCACGTTAAAGAATCCCAGATGGTCGAAATTTCCGGAGCCCTCCGCTATGGCGTCTCTCATAATCATATGGCGGTTTTAGGACATTAAACCCCACATATTAATCAATCACTGCTGGCCATTCTGTTGTTTACCGAACTTACGATCGTGTGCACAGACGTTTCTTCTGGCCTGGTCTATACCGCTCGCTTCAGCGCCACGTCACTTTCTGCTACCTCTACCAACGCCATAAAAAGCCTTCTCTCTTCTGCTAAATACCTTCAGCCCATACCTATCCCCAGCGAACAATTCTTTTGTGTCGGTTTGAACCTCCTTGGTGCTTTCCCGACTATGTCTGAGGGGTAACAAGTGGATGGCCATAGCGACTGATTATACTACACGTTATGCCATTACGCGAGATTTTCCTACCAGCTGTGCAACGAATGCCGCTCACTTTCTTCTCCACCAAGTCATCTTACACAATGGTGCCCCACACCAGCTGCTGCCTGACTGAGGTCGATGTTTCCTTTCGAAAGTTGTCGATGACCTTCTACACTCTTGTGCAAGGTTTCACAAGTTCAGCACCACTTACCATCCGCACACAAATGGACTTACTGCGTGCTTGAACCGTACACCCACGGACATGTTATCCATGCACGTGTCTGAGGATCACCTGGATCGGGGCTGCAAGTTACCATTCGTGACGTTTGCTTACACTCTGAGGCAAAATGCTCCGAAAAAGGAGTAACGAAGCCCAATGGGCACGCGCGAAGAACGGATAGACCGTTTAAGAGTAACCACAGCGAGACGCGTGCCGCGTGGAAACCACTTAGTCTTCAAAAAGATAAACCACCCGGGAAATGCGGGCCATGCGCAAACCGTTGTCAAGGGCACTAGCCGTTCTCCTCTCTCCTGGCTCAGTCTTCCCCCGTATTTTGCTGGTGACGGTTGGCATTGCGTCGCACTCGGAGAGCTCGACAATCTAGGAATTACGCCATGGTGTTTTCGGCGTACGCTTGGATGAGCGCGCGCTGCTGCTTTTACGTTTCGCAGCGCCTATGAAGTCTGGAGCAGGTCTCAACACGCCGCCACGCCATGCTGTATATCTCTAGCTTAGTCAAGATGGTCATGACCTACTCGCGACACCACCGGCTGGGAACGAAGGCCAACATGGTGGCCGAGAAGACAGCAGGCCCGTCGGATACATTATTTCAGTCTCACTCAGGGCAGAAATCAGCGCTGGATTCTTCTACAAGTAGGTGATCATACTCTTTTCTGCCGTACTTGTCGGGTGTGTGATACGGACCGCGCTTGCCGGCAATGGCCTCGGCCGTGTTGTGTATCGCACGCACTAAATGCACTGCGAAGGTCGGCTTGAGTGTCTGCAGTTCGCTTGTGCTTTGTGACCGCCCGGAAATTGGCCGCCATTGCCTGCGTCCGTCCGGACACTCGCTCACCGAGTGCTCGCTTGTCTTCACCGCCGTGATGACTCGTAGAGACCGGAACGTTAGGCACAAAAAAGAATGTTTTAGGCACTTAAATTGGCCCTAAAACAGCCATTTAAACATAAATAGGATTTCAAAACTATCGCTTAGCATATATAGACACCATTTTTATTGCTTCAGTAGCGGGATCAGGCCAATTATTCAACTTCTAACAAACACAGCTGGCCATATCTGTGCTTTCGGAAAGCTGAATTTATTTTTTCTATGGAAGGAGTTAACAAGAAGCATAATCATTTGAACAAACTTAGGTGAAAGCTGAGGTAATTTGACATTGTGAGAAAGGCTATAAAAACAGCCACAAAGCAGCATAATTTCAAGGTTTTAGAAATTGAATTGTGCTTGCTTTCAGTCAGTATTTGCTTTCAAGCAAAAAAAAAACGCTTGACGCCCACTGAAGTTATTGAAGCGTACATGTTGCCTAGCACTTTGAACGCTTTAGTTGAATCTGGAAGATTTAAATCAGCACCACTCGAAACTTTAGACACTTGCTTTAGCACATACAATCCTGGATTCTTTCTAAGGCAGATTTAAGATTTGAGCCAATCCTGTCAGTGACCGCTCTATTGGGACGAGGCGAACCTTTCCTGCACGTCCAAAAAAACTGGGTATCAATAGCCTTTGCCTTTAAGTGTTTTACGCGATAGCGATATCTACTCCCTGGTGGGTACTTCATCCACTTAAGTGCCTACTTATTATATCATGATGTTACTCCAGAAGTTTAAATTGTGGATTACGATACAGTGGAAACAATAAAGTTGAAAGGTGCTTGTTTAAGTGAATCTTTCGCATTTGGCTTCGTTCTGTGTAACGGGTGCATGCGAGTTCAAAGATGCGGATATAAAAATGAAAACAAATCTGTGTGCTCATGAAATGACCACGAAATACATGTTATTTGCGTAGATTCAGGGGTTATTTAAATAAATTAGCCGTCGTGTGTCAACGATGGGAGTTTTATGGCTATGCATGTTTGAGAATGGACGTCAAACTCAAAATATTGTTGACCTTTGCATTGTTTTTCCCCTGCTTTCCACATGGGCCGTTTCTCGATTGACGGAGTAGTGCGGTGATTGACTGGTCCACTGCCTGACAAGTACACTTTATGGCTTTTTTATTCAGCATTGTTTGGCAGACTTCCGACAGCTGCTGTTATGAAGAACATAATTGCTAACGAAATTGAAGTGTAGGCTGTAGGCGGCAGCACTAGCATAGCTTAGTTTCGGCTGATTAGAGTACGTTCTGCTACACTGTACTCTCGCCTCCCAAACGTAACCGCCATGCTGCACGACTCTCAAACATTCAAGGGGCAGGAGGTACGCTAGCGTTATCTTCTCCTCGCTTCGCTACAGTACACTCTAGCCACGCTTACGCAACCGCCATGCTTCACAACTCTTGAACCAAGTGACGAAAATCTTTTAGGAGCCCCTGCTAGCGCTATAGATGCTAGACTCACTGGGGTACAAGGCGATGTTTATAGCTCGAGCTCAGAATGACGACAAAAGCACGAGATGATGAGCCACGCTGGCGTACAAGCCCCGCTCACGTATAAAGGTGTTTACAGTGCGACGTTATCGGAGCGTTGACAAACGTCTCACGCGTTGGAGTGCATTGGCTGAGTACAGTTACACGTTGACTCTGGCAGTGCGTCGACTTATGATCTGTTTTCGCCGACATGACAGAGCGTATGCACGCGTCAACCCTACGTCTAACCATAATCGAACCTTACCAGGAGATAAAATCATGAAGAAGAAAAAAAGCTATTAGCGCGCTATGCACGTTTGTCGTTAATATGATCACACCAAGTGCTTTTGAACGCGATAGCGTTAGAGAGCTCGCGTCGCAGAAAACCCGCCGCTGGCGTCAGCCCCGTTGGTTGTGAGCGAAAACTCGTCTGTGCGTCTGTGACCGGAAAATCAAGTTATTGAGATAGCCGCAGGAGGCACTACTTGTACACGCGTGCGCGCGCGATAACACTTAAAAAGCCGTGCGTGCGAAGAAAAAAAAAAGGTAGGTGGCCAAGGTCATCAGGCTCGGAAGTTTCATTTCCCTGCCACCCCTCCCTACTTAGCTTCCAGCGCTTTCGTCGGGATGAGAGTAGAGATAGTGCAATTGCAACATGCGACAAACCTTTGTAACTCCACTTGCACTGGACGGATTCTTAAAATTTTTGCGGCGTCAAATTCATGAGGCAATAAACGTTTCCAGTGAATTCATGCTATGGTTACTTGAAAAAGATTTTCAGGGCCCCTTTAATGCAATTTGTTCGACAAGTGACACGATGAAAACAAGCCCATTCGGCGATAATAGCGCACGCTGGTCCAATCGGTTGTGTGCGTGTTTGTGTGCGTGCATATGTATGTAACAAAACATGTTAATAAGTATGCACTTAGTGGTTGAAGGGTGCACTTGCGGCCGGACTTCACTTTCGCGTTCAACTCCTAAAGGCAAAGCTCAAGGGTACCCCACTTTTTGTTTTCCTCCATACGAGCAGCACATTTAAGCAAAACGTTTACTCGACGAACGCGAAAAGGCATTTTTAGGCGCTGAAAAGCTGATATAGCACAAAACCCTAAATAGGCGCTTATAGACACAATAAATGTGTTGTTAAAATGTTTCCTATTCCTTAGTTCGAGTTTATATGTTGAATAGGCTCGAAGCGTACTCCAGAAAAAAATAGGCATTTTGCTTAAAGTTCCCGTCTTAAGTGATGAGCTCCGGGCTGACGATATTGGGCGGCTACCTCGTCGCTGTTTTGCGAGTCGTGCACCGCCACGGGCTGGTGGGGCTTTGGATAGCTCGGAACTGAGTCTTTGAAAATTGATTACCTTTTCAATTGGCTTCGTCGTCAATCGGTCGCAAGCAGCTCTGCGCCGACCGTTGGTGGCTGCCATAGTGGCGGAGTCACGTTTGCTCGCTGCACTCACTCGAGTTTGTGGTAAAGGGCCACATTACCGTCGGTATTTTAGGCGCTCGCTCCAAACCAACTCGGCACTGTTCGTGGTGGCGGCCCAGCATACGGTCGCTCTCCTGTTCGAGGTTTGCTGGCGGCTGACGCTTCGCGTGCAACACCATGTTTGGTCGCGCGTTCGCTTGCTCGAGCTGAACGGCGGCACAGTGGTTCGCGGCGCCTCGGAGTTATGACTTCTGCTACCACACTTAGGCTGTTGCACTACGGAGATCGAAATGCGTCTTTGACGATGTGTGACATCATGATGCAATTATTTAGATGTCCTATTTTACAAATATGTTTTTATCTCACCTTTCACGTACTTGTCATGCCCATGCATATTCATACCTTTGTGACGCTCGCAGAAAAATACCTTGCTGCCTCGTAGCTGCTCATTCTAGTCATAGGTGTCCTTCGAAACATTTCGAGGAGACGTTCTGAAAGAAGTTCACATGTTTAAAAATACTACTGAACTAATCATTGTCCTCTAGTCATGTTTTTCGAGCTGAAAGAATGCATGCTTTTGAGAATAATAATTTTCCCAATAAACTCTGTTGACGTTACTACTTAGTATTCAACATTCGCCATTTCTTTATTATAGTTTATGGTGCGTAATTTGTGATCTGCACAAAATATACACGAGAGGAAGATACATGAATGGCGAAAACTCACCACAGTTCACTTCGTCCCTTCCATTATGGCAGTCTACGTCGCCATCACAGATCCACTCTTTTCGGATGCATCTACAATACATAAGATCGGGTACAGTGCTGCTGTTGTGCAATAAAAAAGAGATTCTCATGAGCAGATTGAAAAAACACGGGAGGACCAACAATGCCCATTCCTCTTAATATTGTACGGAAATGGTCGCTCTTCACTGTAAATTTCTAGGCCAAGCTCACTTTCATCGAACACTGATATCGGAGAAAAATTTCAGAATGTCAATCTCAAAAGAAATCGCAGGTGAGGGTGACAGGGCACTGCAGTTTATAATATACAGAGAGCTGCTCCAACTGCTGAAGCCTGCCGGGTTGTCGTTGTCTGTATTGTACCAGTACGAGTGTCATTGCTTTTGTTTGTCTGTTAACCAAATTCAATGGCGACAGCCGTTAAACTTGGTTGAGTTTTGTCATGCCGCAATAATTACTAAATAACACCTTTCTATATCTCCAAGCAGCGAAGGGTTTCTCGCGTGAAGAACTTCAATTCCCCCATTTGACTAAACCGCTTGATTCAAATAATAAAAAGTTAATGATTGGACTTTCCCAATCACTCACCCAAGTTATATCAACTCAAGATGCATGCCACTACCGAAAAAGGCAATTGTGAAAGCCAGGAGCAAATGTCACGTTTTCCAGATTTTTGAGGATCCCTAACACATCTTGACACACCCGGTATCGTATGAGCAGACGGGGAGATGTACGTAAGCAGGAGCTTTTTCTGTGTGCATGCTTTCCTACGTTCCTTAATTGAAATATAAATGGTATCTTGGGTACCAACCAAAGCCTCAGCTTTCACGACGCATCGACACTCTTGGAACTGCTTACACTAACATATTCTTTATTCCGATCTCCACCTGTGAAGCGTACAACACGTTCATGCGACCCTGACGGCGAGAATGTTTATCACCCGTTGCTCGACTGTCCCAAGCACAACACACACACAGATCGTGAATTGAACATGAGCTCCATTTACATGACACACAACTACCTTTTCCGCTAACCGAATTACTGACCCATAGTACCAAACATTCACCAACAAGTGGTGAAAGTCCTTCGATGCATCTTTGAAGATATGACAATTTCAGGCTGAGCAGTAGCTTTAGCTAGCGAGTGTGTATTTGGCTTCTGCGTACAACACATTTGCGGACACTGCTAGGATGAGGGTTTTCAAATTCGCCAAAGGAATACTATTTGTTTCTTGAATTTCAGCTTATTTCTAATAATCAAGTGAAAAACATGTAGCCGTTTCCATAAAACGACAACTGCTCTTTCATTTAGTTTATTCACGTAATAACAGAATGATATGGCACAAGGGAAGTTAACCAGGTGATAAATATTCCTTGCGTTACCCTGCACTGAAAAATGGTTAAGGCAAGACAGCACAATAAAAAAATACGTAGAGTGAAAGAGCGAGTGAGCACAGATGAAATAGCGCACATCTCAAGAGCCAAGTTTCAGTTCTCCAGCGGAGAGCGGCGAACTTATTCGGGCTTCTAAGCAGAGGGGAATTATTTTTCGCATAATTTGGAGACTGACAGATGGAAACTGACATACTCAAAAGGAAACGATTTAGTGACTAGCGAAATAGAGTACTATCAAGGTATTTACGTGCCAGAACTTCGGTATGCTTATGAAAAATTCATGATTAAGTAACAATGCTATTTTAACGTGGAGTGTTTATTAAGTTAACACCAATTGAGCTAACACTGCACACAGTGTGCAAGAATGCAGGACGATAAGGCAGTCCAGACACAGCCCCACAACAACATCATTGTCTTCATTCCATCTGCGTCATTTCCGCACTCGTGCCTGAGGAACCTTTCTATACCCGTGACAAAGCACCATCCTGGTGCCTGCTGTTATTAGACGGACGGGTCACTGTGATAGGGCCTCAGGCGAGAACTACGCACAATGTCACTTCTGGATGTAACAGTGGGGTTCGTAGTAGGAGAAATTTCATAAGTGACAGGTGTGACTTGGCGGAGAACTCGGTAAGGCCCAACGTATTGCGATAAAAGTTTGATTTGATTGATTTGTGGGGTTTAACGTCCCAAAACCACCATTTGATTATGAGAGACGCCGTAGTGGAGGGCACCGGAAATTTTGACCACCTGGGGTTCTTTAACGTGCACCCAAATCTGAGTACACGGGCCTACAACATTTCCGCCTCCATCGGAAATGCAGCCGCCGCAGCCGGGAATCGTACCCGCGACCTGCGGGTCAGCAGCCGAGTACCTTAGCCACTACACCACCGCGGCGGGGCTATAAAAGTTTCTCGCCCAGGCCGACACGACGGGATGGGAGCCGCAGTAGCACGAGAAAGCCCAGAGAAAAATAGACTTCCCTACGTCGACTCTCGTAGACATCCGACATAGGGAAGTTTTTTGTGCTCTCCGGGACGATGAGAACCTGGCGCGGGCTACTGTAGCGCGATCAGAGCATGGGAGATGGCATCTTGTGCGTTCGAAGTGGTGGACGGGAGGTCATGCGCAAGCAAGTTATCGAAAGAGAGTAAAGGATCACGGCCAAAAAAAGATAAGATGGGAAGTAGCCGGCAGTTTCATGATAGGGCGAGTTGTAGGCAAAGGTTACGGACGAAGGGAAGGGTCCCAATTGGTGTGGTCGTCAGAAACACACATAGCAAGCATGTCCGTCAGTGTGTGGTTGAGGCGTTCAGTAAGTCCGTTAGTCTGGGGATGGTGCGAAGTCGTAAAATTGTGCCACGTAGCACAGGGTCTAAGGAGGTCGTCAACCACACGAGACAGGAAGCAGCGGCCACGGTCCGTGAGTAGGTGAGAAGGAGCGCCATGCAGAATGATGACGTCATAGAGTAGGAAATCTGCGACGTCCGTTGCGCAGCTGGTCGGTAGCGCTCGAGTATTTGCATACTCATTGGAATAATCCGTAGCTACTGCTATCCATTTGTTTCCCGTTGCTGATGTCGGGAACGGACCTAACAAATCCAAACCCATCCGATGAAACGGCTCGGCTGGGACTTAATTAGGTTGAAGGTGACCGGCAGGAAGAGACGTGGGCTTCTTCCGACGCTGGCACAGGTCACACGCTGCAACGTAGCGGCGAACGGGTCATTAAAGGCCCTTCCAGAATATCCGTCGACGGACGCGGTCATAGGTTCTGGAGACACCTAAATGTCCGGAAGTTGGGGCGTTGTGATGTTCTTGAGAGATGTCCTTGCGCAGATGACGTGGGACGACGAGCAAAAGTTCCGCGCCATCAGGCTGTAAGTTGCGGTGGTAAAAACGTTGTCTTGAAGAAAAAAAACAGGCTCAGTGAAGGGTCTTTATGGCCGGATTGAAGATGGTCAATCATCAATAGCAGCGATTGATCTCGGCGTTGTTCGACAGCTATGTGCTAAAATCTGTTATGGCTAGCATGTTGGCATCCACTTCGAACTCAGAGGAATTGGGTGGATAAACAGGGTGTCGAAATAAGCTGTGAGCATCGCTGGGAAGCTTGCTAGACTTTCACACTACAGAGAACGTGTACTCCTGCAATCGCAATGCCCATCTTTCGAGTCTTCCTGCAGGATCTTTCAAGATTGACAGCCAGCAGAGCGCATGGTGGTCTGTGATGACTGCGAACGTGCGTGCATATAGATACGGACGAAATTTTGTGATAGCCTAGATGAGAGTTAGGCACTCTCGCTCAATAATTCAATAGTTCCTTTCTGACTGAGAAAGTAGGCGGCTAGCCTAGGCTATGACACGGTTTGGGCCGTTCTGGATTTGTGCGAGTATTGCCCCTATGCCATGGCCACTTGCGTAAGTGCGAAGATCCGTTCGAGCGGCTGGGTCAAAATTAGCCAACAGAGGTGGTGATGTGAGCGCAGAAACCAACGACGCAAAGGAATGTTCTTGTTCTTCACACCAGGACGAAGCCACGTTTTTTTTGAAGAGATCCGTGAAGGGCCGAGCAGTTTCCGCAAAGTTGCTGACAAAATGGCGGAAATATGAACAGAGTCCCAAAAAGCTGCGGACGTCTTGCGTGGAACGTGGGACCGGGAACTCGCGCACAGCGCGAGCTTTATCAGCGTCGGGTGATACACCAGTAGCGTCAACTAGGTGGTCAAGTAGCATTATCTGACGGCGTCGAAAGGTGCACTTAGGCGCGTTAAGCTGGAGGCCAGCACAGCGAAAAACGTCAAGAATGGCCGACAGACGTAGAAGATGGCTTTCAAAGGTTGGCGAGAAAACGATGAAATCGTCTAGATAGCACAGGCACGTTGACCATTTAAAACCGCGAAGGAGGTAGTCATTAATGCGTTCAAAAGTTGCTGGCTCATTGCACTACTCCAAATACATGATTTTAAACTGTTAAAGCCTGTCGGGTGTTATGAATGCCGTCTTCTTGCGGTCCTGGTCATCGACTGAAATTTGCCAATATCCAGATCGTAGGTCCAGAGAAGAGAAATACTTGGCTCCATGAAGGCAGTCAAGCGCATCATCAATTCGATGTAGAGGATAGACATCCTTTTCGGTTATTCGATTGAGATGGTGATATTCGACGGAGAACCACTAGGTGTCGTCTTTATTTTCAACAAGCACAACAGGTGATGCCCAAGAACTGGTCGAAGGCTCTATGGTGTCTTTGTCGAGCATTTTCTCTACCTCCGTCTGGACTATTTGGCGCTCTGAATAAGAGACCCGATAAGCACGCTTATGAAGAGAACTGGCGTCGCCAGTGTTGATTGATATGGTGGGCTACGATGCTCGTGCGGCCCAAAGAACGGTCGTCGATATCAAAAACGTTGAGGTAATAAAATCAAAGACCACGGAGTGCTTCAACTTGGGACGGCGACAGGTCGTTTGATATCACTTTTTCTCGGAAAGCTCTATTCTGTGCGGCAGTGACAGGTTCGGCTACGGTCCTGATGTCAGGAGTGAGAGATGAAATTGTACATTGCTCCAGAGTGGAGAGTTCTGCTAAGGCAATACCTTGAGGAATGACCTGGGTCAACATGGAGAAGTTGAGGACAGGAAGAAGCGTCTTGTTGTCGCTAATATTCACTATAGTGTGAGGAAGTATGATGTTCCGGGAAAGGGTCAGGTCAATGAGTGGAGCTGCCAAGTAGTTGCCATCAGGAACAGGTGGGAACGGCGACATAGAAAGGTACACAGAGGCCTGAAGTGGTAATCGTAGACACTGCACGGAGACCGTAGCCTTGTGCGAGCTGCAGGAGAAACATTGGAGTACAAAGGCAACTCCAGCTGTGAAGTGCCGGTTGAACAATCGATGAGGGCTGAACGTGCGGTCAAGAAGTCAATGCCGCGAATCACTTCTTGTGGGCAAGCGTCTAGAACAGCGAAGAGGACTGAAGTGTGAAGGCCGGCAACAGTTACGAGGACAGTGCACATAGCAAGAACTTATGTTCGGCTGCCGTCGGCTACTCGGACAGTCGAAGACATGACAGGGGTAAGAACATTTTCAGGCAGAATCGAAGACGTCAACTCATAACGGATATGTGGGCACCAGTGTCTATTAGAGTGTAACGGTCAGGCCATCGATAAGAACACCAAGTAAATTTCGTCTGGAATTAGTGGTCGGTAGAGGTTTTTCGGTTCGAGTTGTCAATGAAGCGCCACCTCCAGAAGCTTCATCTGTTTGTTTCCCGAGAACTGCCCAGATTACGCCGGTGACGGGGAGTGACGACGTTGATAAGAGCGCGGCTGGCGACCCCGAGGTCACGGCGAGCGGCTGGACCAGGTTCTCTGGGCGACGACATTGGCGTAGGATGGTTCGGAGCGTAGCGTAGAACGGCTAGGTGGGAGGTCCTGAAGGTGGTCATCGGCAAAACGAGGTGGCCAATACGGCCCACCATCCTGTCGGTGGTCGTCTAGAAAACGTTGCCGGAAAGACCATCTGTTACGGCAGTGGCGGGAAGTGTGGCCAACACGATGGCAAGAGAAGCATATTGGTCGATCATCTTGTGTTCACCACTCAGATGGATTTCGATCGCGTGATGAGAACCGCTGGACCGACGCGGCAGCAGCAACAAGTGGGCCGGCGTGGTAGTGAGCGTTATGAGCGTTAGGATTTATTGGCTACGGTGTGTAGCTGGAGTTTTGAGGAACTAAGACGCCCATGTTGCAAACTCTTGTCGCACAACAGCCTGAATAAGAGATATTGGAGCCAAGTTTTCAGGCACAGAAGGTTGATCAGCGGAAGGAGCCGTGGCTTCCAGCTCATAGCGCACAACTCTTGTGATGTTGGGCGGATTCACGAATGGACGTGGTGCCACAGGATCCTCGCAGGAAGAAGTCGTAGCGGTGTTTGGGAGTCGGGAAAAGCGTTGAGGGATTCTCCTACTTTTGGCTTGTTCGAACCACTGACATTCACTGACAATTGAAACAATGATGGTACTGTTCTTGCAGATCAGAATGTTGAAGGCATCGTCAGGTATGCCCTTCAACATATTGCTGACCTTGTCTAGTTCGGTCATGTCTTTGTCTGCCTTCCGACACAAGGCGAGCATGTCTTAGATATAGGCAACGTACGATTCGGTGGAAGATTGAACTCGTGACGCGAGTACCTGTCTGCCTACCATTTGTCGAGCAACTAACCGGCCGAACAAGTCACGGAGTTTCTGCGTGCACACGTCCCAACTCATCAGGTCTTCCTTGTGCGTCTCGTATCAGGCACGTGTATTACCTCGCAGGTAAAAGATGATGTTGGCCAGCTTAAGCTTCTCATCCCACCTGTATTGCTTGCTGACGCGCTCGTGTAAGGTGAGCCACTCGTCAACGCCAGTTGCGTCGGTGCCAGAAAATGTACCTGGATGGAGAAGATTGGAAGGGATCACAGGGGACGGAGCAGGCGTAGACTGAATGGACGGCACACTGCCTTCAGGCATCATGGCTGGACGAAGCTGACGTCCGCTACGGAGATCCAGAGTCGGAATATTACCCAGCACTTTTAAATATGTCACGGCGAGTATTTAATTAGTTAACACCGGTTGGGATAACACTGCGCACAGTTTGCGAGGATGCAGGGCAATGGGACAGTCCAGAGCCAGCCCCACAACAACATCGTCGTCTTCATTCCTTTTGCGTCATTTTTGCACCCGTGCCTTAGGTACCTTTCTATACCAGTAACAATATTATTATGCAACCAGGATATTGCGCAACCACGGCATAAATTAGGGTAATTAGCGTACTTAACTAACACATAATTATTTTTCTGACGGCCGCCGTTTCCGATAATATATTCAAAACTGAAGATTTGTTTAAAATACTGTATTCTTTGGAGTCGCTAGCTTTTAGTGAAAAAAAAAACACGCGGTGTTTTGCTCATCTTTTGTCTTCATTCAGAGAATATAAAAGACTGTCATTGTATTAGAAGCTTTCGAGAAAAATATTACTCTGCTTATCGAAACATAAGGGAAACATCGGAATATTAATTCCTTGGGGAATAATATACACGTGGTATTGCGTAAGGTTTAAGCTAAGATTGTCTCCACTACTATAAACTGTAAATAGTCTGACTTTTCACACAATTTTCGAAAAACTGCGCGACAAATGGGAACAATGCGTTTTAAACAAACGCAATTTCATGTTTAAAAGTTTTCAACCAGAAGGGTGAGACAGAATATGCAGAATTTGTTGCTTGCTATCCGTCACCCTCAACGCCTTGCTTTAAAGCTCACCTTTTCTTTTTTCATCAGCCTTTGTTTGCCCGTGTGGAGCCACAGGGCTGTGTGTTTTCAACCTTATTCGTCTCTTACAAGAACAGCAGTAAAAAAATTTTACAAAAAACGTCTGACCTGCTTAGTGATTACGGAAAAGAGCAATTCAAGCTGCCCTTTGATGCTTATCCACTTAGCATGTGTCCGGCACTTAGGCGTGTCAGGCATACAACAGCGTAAGAGATTGTTTTGTGAAATAGTCCAGCAGATACGAGGAGAGGACAGCTCACATTAACCTTCAGGTTATCGAAAATGAGAGGTACAGAACACCAAAGGTTAAAAGGGAATGAAAAAAATAAAGTGCCACTTGTAGCACAAAGTCACTAGGAAATTCACACGGAGTTTTCTGTAAGAAAACCTTGTAGCTTAAACTTACGGAATTCTCATGCATTTCTTGGCAGCTTTCTGCAAAAGTTGTCAAATGATATGAGCTAACAAGCAAAGTAAGTACCTCAAAAATTACACAAAAATCAGTGTTACTTTCGCGAAAAAGCGCAAAAGAAGAGGAAATTGAAATAAAATTGCCATTCGCATAGACTTTTGCAAGAAATAATAAAGGAATGTCCCTCAAATACCAAGGGGAGTGGAAAAAGTAACGTCACTAGAACGGAATGAACGAAGGCATATCTACTTTCGAAAATGTCTTGAAGGTAGCCTCGATTCAGTCTAATGGACGTTGGCTAGTACATAATTAATTGTACTTGCTGATTCCCTTGTCGTATGCTCGACTTCGACACTGAGTTACTAAAGTTCAATAACAAACGCGCTACTGGTGAACGTAATGATTACCTTGATAACCTCGTTTACTGGAAAATTGCGAATAAGCTTCCCCCTCTCCCTACCAAAAAAGACGGGAAAAGCGACAAAACAAATATAAAAGCTACTCGACGAAAAAAGTTCAAATATATTTATTATAATCGGAACTGACAAAGCTCTTTCGTGGTACAAGCGGCTGCTTTTGAATTATTGCTTTCGCAACCTTCAGGTCTTGTCCCTACTTAATATGACGCGTTGATGGCTCGATTAGAGCGGGAATCGGAGGGTGCTCTCATGTTTAGGCTCTTCAAGTGACTGCGATCGCAATCATACTTATCCGTACTTACTGTTCAGGGCTACACTGAAATTCATTGTCAGCACATTTCGACAACACCATGGCAACGCTTGGACCTGTTGAGGAAAAGGGGGAAAATGTAGCAACTATCACATTGCTCCTCTTATTCTTATTACAAATCAGGAAGGTTGCACAGGCAATGCTTACTTTGAACTAGCGAGCACTCCGGTATATCGCAGTGTTCGTATTCTGATTCACTCACAAAACACCAGGGCGTATCGTCACCATCGGGCGAACGGCAGTGATTGTGCAATTTCATTTCCTGAAACAAACAGAGGCAACATTTTTCTTCAGTAGTGAGTCATGGACTTTTCCGGCTCTCGTAAACTACTAGAAGCTGTAATTGTCATCTAACTTGTGCGTGGTGACATCAGCGAAATTATTTTCCATAGAATGTACTTTTCCCCAGTTTAGCGCAAGAGAATGAAAGGCAAAGTGGTGTTTCGGTGGTTTGAAACAAGCATAGTTGCTGTCATAGCTCACAGCTGTTGACATCTGACGATGCGTCCGACAACACTGTGAATCTCAGGAGCTCTTCTAAAGCCAGCACACTGATCCAACCATTACCAATTTCAAGACAAATTGTTTGATCTTAATACGACACTGTTATTTAAACCTGGACACCGCAGGTTTTATGGCAGCGACTGATAGAATACAAAATTAGGCACAAGTAAATCAAACAGTATAAACCCAATCGGTATGTGATTTCTGCACATCTAACCTTCCGAGCTACTTGTGTAGTCAGTTTTATACATCAAGTGTGATGTTGTGGAGGTGAGTGAGATTTCCTGCAGCAGTTGCATCCCAACCAAGTCCAATGGTATTATCAGACGTAACGTGATTTTCTTTTATATTTAGGCTGAGTTATGAATTAAGATGTTTTGTACTATAGCTACAAAGAAAACCCCACCATTATATTGCCCACAAGAAGTTCCGGATCACCTATCGTCTCTTTGTTTTCCATTTTTTGTGTGTAGTGAAGAAGAGGGGCCTCAGTGGCATTTCTCTGTGCCTCAGGGGCATCGCCATCAGCATAAGCTCGTGCTTGCTGCGCTTGGCCGGACGCTGCTGACTTCTTCGCCTTCTGCATTGTGCTCTGCAAATAAACCCCGTTACAAGTGATTGAGGCTGCTGGGTTTCGATAACCCTGTAGCTTCGGAATCGCATTTCACGGTCTATTATGCCTACCGGCGCAAGCACTGCTCCGACGGCTCCACCAGCACCACCTACTGTCCTCTGTGCCGGTTGTCTGCGTCTGCGAGATCCCCCTGCTTTCTCAGGCACAGAAGACAAGGACGTTGATGACTGGATTTTTATGTTTGAGCGAGTGAGTACTTACTCCAAATGGGATGACGCCGCCAAGTTGGCCTACGTCTTCTTTTACCTGTCGGATGTGGCCAAGCTGTGGTTCATAAACAACGAAGCTAAACTCCCTACGTGGACCGTCTTCAAAACGAGCCTCACAGAAAGTTTTGGACGGCCTGAGGTACGCAAACACCGTGCCGAACATCGCTTGCATACTCCGTCCCAACAGCTTGGTGACAATTTCACAAGCTATATTGGGGATGTTCTGGACCTTTGCAAATAAGTCAATGGGCCGATGTCCGATGAGCTTAAGCTCAAGCACATCACGAAGGGCATTGAAGACGACGCTTTGCAAATGTTGCTTTCTAAGAGTCCTCGCAATGTCGTAGAACTGACTGAGTTACGCCAGAGTTTCGACGAGTTGTGCAGGCAACGTCTTTCCACCCGACGTCCCTTGGTTCCCGACGACTCTCTGTCCAGCCTGTCCAACGTTGGCATAGGAGATGACCATGCCCCTTTTCTCTCAAAGATTCTAGAGTTCATCCGCGCTCATCTTGCTCATCAGCTCTCTTTGATGTCATGTGTACCCAATCCACCACGCAGATTGACGTCTACAGTCCGCGACTTCATTCAAGACCAGGTCGCACAAGCTCGTCCTCTCGCCCGTGAACCGCCGCCAGTCGCCGCACCTCCCACGTACGCTGAGGCCGTTGCTCGACCTCGACAGACTGCTTTCTAGCCAGCGCTTATGTATTCACCACCGCCCTTTTCGCCGTCAACCTATTCACCACCGCTTATGCCGATACCACCTCGGCCGCAGTTTTCTGTCCCCAGCCGCTACTCGGCGTCTACTCCGACCAATGGCGGACCTACGAACACGGTCCGATATGTTTTGCTTGTGGCGGCGTTGGCCACATGGCGCGTTATTTTCGTCGTCGCCAGGTTGTTCCGAACATTCGACGAATGCCCCCTTTCGACCCTCAGTTTTCTTCCTGCGCCTTCAAGCCCTCCTTCCTCTTCCTTTCCCCCTGATCGTCCACTCGGCCGCACACACCACTCCCCATTTCTACGTCGACGTTCGCCTTTCCCTATGCGTCGCTGTTCCGAGCCCACCGATCAGGAAAACTAACTGCTGTAGTTCCCCAGGCAAGAACTGCGTCCCCGTCGCCATGCACAAGTCCTCGCTCCTGACCAGCTAATGTCATTGAAGTATCAGTCTATGGTATTGTCATCAGGTCACTTGTCGACACCGGAGCCGCTCTATCCGCCCTTTCCACCCACGTGTGCCACAAACTCCGCAAAGTTCTGACGCCATGATCCGGTCTTTCTCTTAGAACGGCTAACGCACAAAGTGTAACACCTTTCGCAGCCTGTACCACACGAGTCGTCATCGAAGGAATTGTGTATATCGTCGAATTCGTAGTGCTGCCCTCGTGTTCCCAAGACATAATACTCGGCTGAGACTTCCTTACGAATAATAATGCCGTCATTCACTGCTGTCGCGCTGAACTTGAGCTGTCTGCACTTCCTAATGTGGACGCTGTTGAAGCCTCCCTACCCTATTATAAACTGTCTGTTTCTGACGACACCACCGTACCACCGCGCTCTTCTCTGCTGGTGACTGTGTTGTGTGAAGTTATTTCCGACGGTGAGGTTTTATTTACGCCCTCTACCCCGTTCTTTCAACGCGAATGTTCTTCCTGCCCGTTGCTCTCCTTACTCTCCGCCATGGCGTCGCGAAGACGCTCGTGTACAACACGCTAGAAGGGCCTTTCCCTTTATTCCATGGTGAATATCTCAGTCACGTGCATCCGATCGACGCCCGTCACATTTTCGACGCTCCGTCTAGTTCACTTTCTACCGAACCTCAGCGCACTTATTTCTGACCCTGTTGTGGACCAGTCACTCCTTGACGTTTTCCACCGCAATATCAATGTCGCAACGTCTTCTTCAGAACGAAGCCAGTTGGTCAGCCTGCTGCAAAAGTTTCGCACTTCTCTTGACAGCCACGCTTGTGGCCTCAGTCGCAATCTCTTACGAGATTGACACAAGAAGCCATACGCCTCTACGGCAGCATCCCTACCAAGTATCAGCGTCGGAGCGCCGTGTTATTGACGACCAGGTTGCCGACATGCTCCAGCGGGGTATTGTACAGCCTTCGAACGGTCTCTGGGCGTCACTCGTCGTTCTTGTTAAAAAGGACGGCTCCACTCGGATCTACGTCGACTACCGACCTTAAACAAGATCACTCGTAAGGACGTTTACCCGTTACCCCGAATAGACGACGTCTTTGAGTGTTTGCAGAGAGCAGAATACTTCTCTTCGCTGGATTTATGCTCTGGATACTGGGAAGTTTCTAGGGAAACTTCTGACCGACCGAAAACAGCATTTGTCACACCCGATGGATTATACGAATTTACCGTTATGCCTTTCGGCCTTTGTAATGCTCCAGCCACTTTTGAGAGAATGATGGACACTATTTTACGAGGCCTCAAGTGGAACACATGTTTATGCTACTTTGATGACGTAGTTGTCTTTTCCACCGATTACGACACCAATTTAAATCGTCTCGAGCACATTCTCACACGCCTCACCGACGCCGGCCTTTAACTCAACCTCAAGAAGGGTCGTTATGGTGCCCGGCAGCTCACCTTTCTTGGCCACGTCGTATCGTGGGATGGCATACTTTCCAACACCACCAACCTTTGAGTAGTCACCGATTTTCCGAAGCCAAAGAACCTGAAGGAACTTAGAAGTTTTGTCGGTTTGTCTTTCTAATTCTGACGCTTTCTTGAAAATTTTGCTTCCATATGTGTGCCCCTTACAGACCTTCTTAGCGGCAACAAGAACCTTTCCACTTGGTCACCAGCATGCAATTATGCATTCACCAAATTACGCCGCCTGCTAACTTCACCACCTATCCTCCACCACTACGATCCTGCCACTCCCACGGAGGTTTATACTGATGCCAGCAGTGGTGGACTTGGCGCTGTGCTAGCGCAACAAAAGACAACGTTTGATGAATATGTCGTCGCTTACGCAAGCCGAACTCTGATTAAATTCGAGGCTAACTACTCCGTGACCCAGAAAGAGTGTTTAGCGATTATTTGGGCGCTTGGAAAATTTCGCCCCTACCTGTATGGTCACGCATTCGACGTCGTCTCTGACCACCACACCCTTTGTTGGCCATCCACACCTAAAGACCGTTTCACACGACTTGCTCGCTGGGCGCTAAAACTTGAGGAGTACGACATCCGCGTTATTTACTGATCCGGTCGTAAGCACACGGACATCGACGCCCTTTCTCGCTCCTCCATATTGGATGAAGGTGTTTGCTTCTCTTCCCGTGAGCCTGCACTTGCTTCATCCACCTTGCGCAATATGAGGGTGGAACAACGAAATGATCCCTGGATCAGTGGCCTCATAAGCATTCTTTCAGATCCTCTCACTCCTTCGCTGTCTCGCGCTCTCCACCCCGAGGCTAGCAACTTTTGTCCAAGGAACGATCTTTTTTATCGACGCAACTACCTTTCCGACGGTCGCAAGTGTCTTTTTGTCATACCCCACCGTCTTCGAGCCGTTATCTGCAAAGCTTTTCCCGCTGACCCACAGTGCGCCCACGCAAGCTTCTTCAAGATATACGCTAGGTTTCGACTCAGATTTTAATTCTGTGGCATGTATAATTACGTGTGTAAATTCATTCGCTCATGTGCTCAGTGCCAATGACGAAAGTTGCCTCCCGGGCAAGTCTACCCGTCACAACCTCTTCCTTGTCCTAGTCGACCTTTTGATTGCGTCGGCATTGACACTTACGGACCACTACCATCAACTCTAGCTGGTACTCGCTGGATTATTGTTGCGATAGACCATCTCACACGCTATGCCGAAACAGCCGTCTTGCTGACTGCCACAGCCCATGACGTTGGAACGCTTCTGTTGCGACGTTTCGTTCGGCGT